GGAAGATTTGATTCACTGACTTTTGCTTCTCTTAGTGAGCAAAATCATCAAAGTCACGTTTAGAGGTGTATTAAAAGAGAGTCAGAAATGCCTAATACAATTATACTTACTGTAATTATATATATGTGTATATATATATATATTTCATATACATATATATATATGGCATGCTTACCAGAGCTATTTAAAACCCAAAAGTAAAATGACAAAACATTAGAGTTAAAATAGTCCTTAAAATATTTAGTTTAACCTACGTATTTCAAAGAAGTGGGGGCCCAAGGAAATTGACTTGCCCAAATTTACAGGACATTTAATGGAAGAGGTAGAACAAGAATTCAAAACATCAAGACATCTCACTCTCAATTTAATATTTAAAAAATCAAAATTTATATTTTCAAGTAAATTTTACCTTCAAATGATCACTTTCCAAAGATATATGCTTCTCCTAGTGATGTTGTGTTTTACCAAATGTTCTCATAACTTATTCTTTGAAGTTATCTTTGAGACTATTTTAAGCCAATCAAGAAAATTAAGTCTTAACACAGTCTCGTGATACTTTATTATAACTTGCTTTTAACCAAAAATAGCACTTTAAACAAACTTGATCCTTAACTTCATTGTTCAGACTTGGTTCTAAATGGCTTTTGAGTATTTCCCAAAATTTTACTACCCGCAAAACACAAATATTTATCACCATGGTTATATTTTAAAGTATGTAATACAAGCTCTGTGTGTATTTTTAAAGGAGAATTCCAAAGTGACAGCTTAAGGAAGGTGAACTCATTTGGATATTTGCTTTCTGATAAGTTTATTTAAAAAAATATATTAGAATCCATGTTCTAAAATTTCAAATAATTGGTGGATTCCAGAAAGATAATGTATGAGTGTGTTTCTTGGGTGACTTTTCCCAAATATAGAGGTTCCAAATAAGAATATCGTTTTATTCTCTCAGGCAAAGGAGTGTTTCTGGTGATGAATACCTTGGTATGTAGGATATGTTGATGGCATGGTTGGAGATGTTATGACACTAATAACGATGTCAGATAGATAAAGCTAGGGCTAAGGCAAAAACAAGGTAGATCAGAACAATGTTTTCAAGGAGGTCAGATGAAATGAATAGCAGTCTAAATAGAAGGCAGAGAAGAGAAGCGGAGTGGAGGAAGGTATTAAAGAAGACTTTAAGGTTAAAACTCTGAGTTATTAGTGAAAACAGTGATGATTGCAATATTGGGA